CTTATGCTCTTCCATATAACTTATGAAATTAGCTTATAACTAATATTCGCTAACTGAATTGAACAAGTTCGCTAACTATTCAGTTCGGTTTTCTTGCTGAACCAAACTATAAAAACTCCTATACATAAGCACTTAATTAAGTTGTTTATCCAAATTCTTATAAAATTTAAATGCAAAAGGAAAGTCAAATAAATAAACCGGCTTACCATTTGGATCTGCAGAATGAAGAAGACATCCACTATCAATTTTCTTCAACAAAAACATGTAAATTGATAGAGAAAACAATCAGCCATATCAATGGATTATAACAAAAAGCACCCAAAAAATTATTGCTAACTAAAAGTAATTAGACATAGGCTCGTGGAGATAATACCGTTCATCCAATTTTGCGGAGGCTGAAAATGATAAGAAGTTCTGTAAGGTTGTTCATCAGTTACCTTGAACCTGACATGATCAATATTGTTACTATCTGTTGATGCTTCAATTCCATTTCTACTGTTTAACAGGAAAGAAACCATTACAAAAACAAGCACAGAAATCATCATAAGTAATAGTGGTGCTGCAAATTTTTTCATCAAGGTCAACAAAAGCAAGATAGGAACAATGATTCCTGGAGAGTGAAGACAGATATAGAACCAATTAGATTTTAGTTATGTAACACCAATAGGATAATTCCAAATTGAAATTATATTAAAAAGTTTATAAGTCAGAAATTAGATATATATACTTTATTAAGTTTTCTGATTTTGAATAACATAATCTAGAATTTGTATCAGTATCCAAAAGACTGATTAAACCTTCAAAGGTACCAAGTAGTTAGGCTGTCACTATTATATTGTCCTATAATTTATTTGTTTATAAGGAAAGATCTTGATCTTCTTTGTTAAACAAATATTTCAGAGTTGATTTCATCAGTCTCTCATGTGAGATATGAGTTTAATAATGAAGATCCTAATACTTGCTTTACATAAACTTTTAGTCTTCTATTTAATCATGTTTAAGTCTTGTAAAAAATTCAACTGATTCCTCCAACTTGCTGAAAAAGAAAAAGTAAGTTCAATAACCACACATGGGCAAAAAATAAGATAATGGAGTTGATTAATCTAATAATTGACAAATTGACATAATAATAAGATTATTTCATTGATAAAAAGGAAACTTATAAATTCAACGGATGCAAAAGATTTTTGACGTGTCAGCTATAGCTTGTCTGATGTATGCCTAAGTATGTATGCGTCCAAATATCGTGTTCATAGTTGAGGTATTAGGTAGATATTTGAGCAATCTAAAAATGGATCGTTGAAAAGCAGTCAAAAAAATTATGAGGTGTTTAAAGAGAACAAAAGATTATATGCTAACATATAAGAAATCAAACCACTTAGATATCACTGAATACTCTGACTCAGATTTGACTGAATGTCAAGATAGTAAAAGATCTACTTCACACTATATCTACGTGTTGGCTGATGGAGCAGTTTCTTGGCGGAGTACCAAGCAACCTCTTATGGCTTCATCCACTGTGGCAACAAAATTTATAATCAAGTGATTTGGTTGAGAAACCTTGTCACTAAACTGCAAATTATAGAAAGAATTGAAAGACCATTTAAGTTATACTATACCAATAAATCAATTGTCCTTTATTTCAACAATAATAGGAGGAGTTCGACTAAGTCAAAATATATTGACATCAAATTTCTAGTTTAGTTGTTAAGGAAAAGATACAAAATAGACTGATTTCCATAGAATACTTAGGGACAAACTCTATGATAGCAATTCCTCTTACAAAAGATCTTTCACCCAAAGTCTATCATGAGCACACTACTCACATGAGTATTTTATGGTTAGAGAAATCTTTAGTTTAGTCAGAGCTAATCATTAATAAATTTTGTGTTCTATGTTTAGCTATGCATTTTGGATATTTTCCAATTAATAAATTCAACAACCACACATGAGAAAAAAAAAAGATAATGAAATTGATTATTGTAATAATTGACAAATTGACATAATAAGATTATTTCTTTAATAAAAAGAGAGGAAAAAAACCAATTTATTTCCTCCACACAATACATACAAATTATCTAAATAAATGTATGACTTTCCAGATTCCTTTTAGCTATTTTATGCTTTCCATATGGCTAAACTCTGCTTTCTTCATGCTCCACAAGCATTCAGTTATGAGATAACCACACTTTGAGTTCCATTGTGGAATACATAAAGATTGGCATCTTTCCTTATAGCATACAAGGGATAAAATCTACTTGTTATGCAAGCTCTTCCTCCATCTCCAAAACTTTAAATAATACACCTATCAATCTGCATATTAACAGATATACATATATAGAGCGAGAATTTGAATCCCTCGGCGAGAGGTTTCAATGTCATTGAGAAATGAAAAGTATGCACTGCAAAATAGTGTGTAAGAAATAAGCAGGTCTGACCACTGATCATTAAGCATATATTGCTATCGACGACTCTATATACGTAGAGAGAGATATTACAGTCCTCTCTGTTTGATCTTCTGATGCGAAAGCTAACAAACCAAATGGCCCTATCATGCCTTTTCTTGATACATATGGTTCACTGCAAAGTATTTGAGAATCATCGTCACTTGGATCTAGCAATTCGACACTTTGTAGATCAGGCATCTACATTGCAGAGAAAAACCAATCATTCATCGAATCCAATAACTAAAGTCTAGATCATGTTATAATAGGGAGGTATAAGGGATAGCCTAAGGTTTCATATCCAGTTTACTTACCTGTGATGCAGTGATGATACCAGTGACTTCAAGAACTGATCCACCTACGAAGTATCTCTTCTGTCATACTGATTTGCTCGCCGCGAAGGTTTTTTACCTTTCCAATTGGTCACAGTATCAATTGCTTCCATATTTATGAAGCCAAACTTGCCTTCAAATTGTCAACATTTTCAAAATTTACCAGGAAAATTCTCCCATATCATAACACTAGATCGCTGTTATATGAAGATAGCTATACAATTAAATTATAACTAAAAGAAAGAGTTGTTGAGCTAATTTACATGTACACCGGCCCATCTTTTTTCAATTTCATCTTATTAGTTATCAGATCTATTCGTTCATGCCCACAATATTCTCCTGTTATTGGCGTAGTAAAAAAATTACTTTGAATTGAAGTATAAAATTTGCCATGGTTGAACCTTGTGTTTCAACTAGGTCCTGCAAATTTTAGATCAACTACAAGAAAAACCAAACCTTATCCCAATAAATGGGATCAGCTACATGGATTAAATTACACCTTAATGTTCTATCCAAGATTATGTTTCAATCGAATTCGTTAATCTCGAGATTTTTATAATAGTTTTTCTAAGTTGTTTAACTCTTCTCTATCTAGTCTATACTCCTAACAACAGAATCTTCTCTCTATATGTCCAAACCATTTAAGTCTATTTTTCACCGTCTTTTCTATTATAAGTGCTACCCCAATACTCTCTAATATTGTCATTTATAATCTTATCTCATCTAATCTTACCACGCATCCATCGCAACATCTTTGCTACACTTGTTTTATTCTCATGTTGATTCTTAATCACCCAACATTACAGAGATTCGACAAAGTTTTATGTTGGTTGTCAACTACCTAACACAACCCTCTATTATTATCCAGGCTTAAGACCGACTATGCATAGTAAGGCTAACATAGGCAGATTTTCCTACAAATTTTAGATCAAGAATAAAATTTTCTTGATCAGAAACATATTTGCCAAGAAAATGGTAGTCCTGATGTAGAGTACATATAATCAAATGCAACTCTACTATTGCATTTGAATAATAAATAACCAAAAATATACAGTACAATTGTTTTCCTCTAGCCACACTAGGATGCTACCAGCAAAAAGTGAATAAATAACCGAAAATAAGAGGAAAATGGCTAGCGTGCTATTTTGATCAGCATGACAATGGCAACAGTTTGGAAAAGTTTTCGACAAAACATGTTAAATGACAGAGAACAGAACTAGACATGAGAAATGATTTAGAAGTGAAAATAAAACTTCAGCGATTTGAATGACTGAACTTCCAAAAAAACTGAAAACTGGATTATAAAGATAAATAAAACAAGAAACAATATTGTTCATACCATCTCAGCATCTTCCCATTTTGAAATTCAGCATTCATAACTAGCAAAATACTGACTCATATTTCAGTAATCTAAAAACCCTTCCCATCCTAGAAGCTGTGACCTCTGTCAATTCTCAGATTTCATATTAAAGCATCATGCCATTCTTCAGAAAAATCAAGAGAAAATTACTTGTTATATTTATGTGAATATTCCATTTCAATTCTGCTCTGATTATAATGATTTTTTCTATTCAATCTACACGTTTTTAAGTATTCCATAATCAATTATTTTAAAATATAACCAAAATCAAGCTAGAACTAAAAAAACAATTAACTCAATATAGTTTCACTGACCAACTCTACTAAATATTCATTGGGTAGGTGCTGCATATTCATGTGAAGGGCCGCTTAAAATTTGAAACAACAATGACTATACCAAACTGCAATCTAATCTATATAATATTAATATATGCAAAAATGAAATAATTCATAGCAGAAATGTATCACTTACGCCTGAAGCCTGAATCTCAAGCAGTACAAGCTTTAACAGGATGGTGAAGAAAACTGCAAGCATCACAAAATAATTAAAAATATTTACTTCAATCCTCAAAAGTAGAATATGCTTCATATATATGGCAGACAACATTACAGGGTAACACTATCTCTCAATTTCTATGAAGCACAGACCCAGACACGGATATCAGACACAACACTCACTGAAACTTACAACTAATCATCGGTAATAATTTGAAAATATACAAGTGATTAAATGTAATCGAACGCATTGGTGTCAAACATGAGACCTGCCTTCAATTTGAGTGTTACAGTGCTCAATTTAGCATCGTGTAATTGATTCTCAAACCTCAATTTTGTGTCAAACTTAACTTCATTTAGAAAAGAATCACTAAATATAAAACCCATCATCTTCTTCGTCAGTTGTGTATTCATCTGAATCCTCGTCTTCGCTGTACTCCAACATAAAATCTTCTCCCATTTCCATTTCCTCATCCTCTTGAAAAAACAACACATCACCAAAATCATCCTCTGTCGTTGATGTTGTATTCCTTCTTCTTCTTCTCCTATCTCTACTCTTTGTCACCAAATCCATATCCATAACCTCACCATTCTCAACCGCATTCCAAGGAACCCACAAATCAGCATGTCTCCCCAAAGCTCTATCAACATCCCCAACAACAACCGTCCCTAAATTCCCCTCTCTAGCCTTCCTCAACATCTCGCTAAAATCCGAATCATCCGAAACCAAAAGCAACCAATCAATCCCTCTACTCATAGAATGCATCATCTGCTTCTTCAAAGCCCAATCAGCAGCCTGAGGCTTATCCTCAACAGTCTTCACAAAAACCCCCGCTCGCCGCAACTCCGAAGCAAGACCATACCCAACTCTCGGCGTAACAATCCCTCTAACCGCGTCATTATACTTCTGGTCCCCAGTAACAAACCTTTCCTTATACTTCTGTCTCTTCTTCCCTTTCAGCGAACTCAAACGGTTAAGCTTCTTCTGCCGTTCTCGCTGGTGAAGCTGTTTGAAGTGTTTCTTGAGATCCACGTTGGTTTTACATTTCCGACCGCAGACGGAGCATATGTATGGCTCGGAGGGATTGACGATTCCTTTGCGTTCGAGGACGTCGAGGCTTTTGCGTTCACGGCGTTGGTTGCGGACCCATTGAGGGAGATGAACGAAGGCGTGACGGTTAGCGTAAGCGGAGATATCTGTGAGTTCGCCGAAGCGTTCGGCTAGGGTTTTGAGAGAGAGTGCAGCGTCGTAAGGTGGACCGCGTGGGGGTTTGTTGTCGAGGTCCCAGAGAACAACGACTTTGTTCTGTTTTGGTACGTAGGTTCCTTGTTTGGTTTTTACCATGTCGATGTCGATGATGGTGTTGTTGTTGTTGTTGATGCAGCATTGTGTGTGGATTTGGGGTTTTGTTTTGAGGAAGAGGAAAGAAGGTGTGGGTTTGGAGTGGATGAAGGTGTGAGAGTGGAAGTGGAGAGTGTGTGTTGTTGTTGCATTAGCGTTGTGGAGGGAGAGAGAGTTCATGGTTTGGTTCCTCACATTGGTTCCTTGGAAGTAACTTTAGTAGATAATGTTATGGATGGTCATGGTTGAAGCCCTTAGAAAAAGGTGTCTACTATCTATCTAATACTGAACAATTTAATGATTTTTTAAATATGTCCTTTTAGTAAAAAAAAACTACACTACCAAAAGGTTGAATCGGTAAATAACAAAAGACAATTTTGATTCACTTCACTCTTACTCTTTTTCTCTCATGTGTCAGCCAAACATTGGGCTAATGGCTAAACAATGTTTCTCTCCAAAACACATTTGCATCGGATGACATATGTTACTTCTATGCTACTACTATTTTTTCATTGTTTTCACTATCTCTCTCACTTTCACATTGTGCTCACAATCTCTCTCGCTTTCCATCTTTCACTCTTAGTCAAGCTCACGGTATCATTCTCAAGAACTCATTCTTTCGGATTCCATTCTCTTTCAAGGTTAGTTCAAGATCTCTTATGTTCTTTTTTCTAGCTTGAATGAAAAAACAAAGTGTTATATATTGAGTTTTTTCAAGTTTATTCTTTGTTCTGTTATATTTGAAAAATCATGTTTGTTCTGATTTTTGATTTTTGATCTTTGATCTCTTATGTTTGCTTTGTTTTTTGATCTTTGAAAAATCATGTTTGTTCTGTTTTTTCAAGCTTATTCTTTATTCTTTGTTCTTTGTTCTGTTTTTTTAAGTGAACAATCATGTCTTCAAATTTTTTATTTGTTCTATCATCACCTGTGTGTTTGTTCAAGTGAAAAATCATGTTTTTTATTTATTCTTTGTGTGTTTGATAGCATAATCAGTTTGACATCATAATATTTTTTACAGCATAATGAGGTTTGTGTGTTTGACAACATAATCAGTTTTACATAATAATAAGGTTTGTGTGTTTGTCATATGAGGTTGGACTCGGTATGAATAAAGAGTTTAATCTTTTTAGTGTTTATCACTTTAAAAAAGATGTTTTTTTTTTTGAAATATCATCAAGATATGAGTGTTTGTGTTCTGTTTTTTTGACTTATTCATGTTAAAATATTAATAATATTTCACTATGTTTGGTTAGTGTTTCTCGTTGGTCAGTGTTTTTTAACAATGCTTTCTGTTCTGTTTGATTAGTGTTTCATCATGTGTTCAAAATATCACCACAACATATTAAAGAACTCAAGGTCTAAAATAAGTTTGACAGAAATATTTGACATGTCCACCACCATTGTCTCATGTTTTTTTAACAATTATGCAATATGGTTGTATATTTGACATAGAAATGGAATTTTTCATGGCTTCTCAAGGTAGGTAATGTAACTAATTTGAACAAACTATAAGCACAAGCATGAACTCCTCAATGTATGATGATGATCATAACATTCTCAAGCAAGAAGATCTTGTATTACTCTGCGTCTATCATCCATCATCTTCCTCAATCAAACTAATTCAAATGGAGCTAAAGAATTTGGATTAAATAGTTAGGATATTTGATTCATAAAATTAAATTAATTTATATATTCAATTTTTAAATATCTAATATCTATAAGATAAATCAAATATGAAGTGACATAAAATGATAGAAACTCGTTTCCTTAATCCAGTTACGTTGATAATCATACAAATTCATATGCAATGCATATGTACTAAAGCATGTTGGAACTTGTGACATCTAGTCCATTCTAATCATTAATTAATTAATTAATTAGAAAAAATATCTCAAAATTTTAATGGAAGTTAGACTTATTTATTGTTATATTGACACAATAAAATTATATTTTTAAAACAAAAACATCACAAATTATATCATGCTTACATCACATACAAATGATCTTAAATACCGTTGTATGATTTTTCAAATTTATTTTAGCTATATACTACTTTCCCCGCCAAATTCTGTTTGTTTCATCCTCCAAGCATTAAGTTGTGAGATAACCACACTTTGGCTTCCATCATTGAATGTAAAAAGGTGAGCATCTTTCTCTTTAGCATATAATGGATAAACTCTACTTATTATCCTTTTTTTTATAGGATTGTAGTTGGAGCATTATAATATGTTATTCTCACACGATTTTACATTGTGTTTTGTGTCAACAAAGCATGTCATTGTATGAATGACCTGATGGAATTTCATTGGAGTTTAGTGAAATGCATGCTTCAACACTTAAGTGGTACAGTAACTCGTGGACTCATCTTAGCCCATGTGAATCCTCTGTAGAAATTCTCCCTAAAGAGCTTATAGTGATTCGAATTGGACAAGTGATTTGGATTATAGACATTGTACATTTGGCTCATGCATCTACTTTAGGGCAAATCTAGTTTCTTGGAGCTCAAAGAAACAACCTCTTATTGCAGGCTTTAACACCGAAGCAGAGTATAAGTCCCTAATGCACACAACATTTGAAGTATTATGGAATGAATCTCTACTAAATGAACTCAAGATCAATTACATGTTGGTCACACTGCTTTGTGATAACCTCAGCGCGGTAATTCTTCGCATAATCTAATCTTACATGCTCGCACAAAACATATAGAGTTAGATATTCACTTTGCTCGTGCACAAATAACTGACATCCTCACAAAACCTCTACCAACTAATCTCTTCAAAAGTTTTCATGACAAGCTCAAAGTTGCCTACTTCAAACCACCATAAGCTTGAGGGATGCAGTAGAGTATAATCAGTGAAGTTAGTTGTAGGTTGTTAGAGTAGTTATGTTAGTTGTATATTATAACCAATGTCAAGGTAGGTAGTGTAACTAATTTGAGCAAACCCTAGTATATATAAACACAAGCATAAACTCCTCAACGTACGATGATGATCATAATATTCTCAAACAAAAAGATCTTGTATTACTCTCTGTCATTCATCCATCATCTTCCTCAATCAAACTAATTCAAATGGAGATAATGAATTTGGATTAATTAATAGTTAGGATATTTGATTCATAAAATTAAATTAATTTATATATTCAATTTTTTAATATTTAATATCTATAAGATAAATCAAATATGAAGTGATATATAATGATTGAAACTCATCTCTTTAATCCAGCTACGTTGATAATCATGCAAATTCATACGCATTGTAGTGAAGCATGTTGGAACTCGTGACATCTCGTCCATTCTAATCATTAATTAATTAATTAATTAGAAAAAAAACCTCAAAATTCTAATGGAAGTTTGACTTATATATTGTTATTTAGACACAATAAAACTATATTTTTAAAACAAAAACATCACAAATTATATCATGCTTACAACACATACAAATGATCTTAAATAACAGTTGTATGATTTTTCAAATTCATTTTAGCTATATACTACTTTCCCTGCCAAATTCTGCTTGTTTCATGCTCCAAGCATTAAGTTGTGAGATAACCACACTTTGGCTTCCATCATTGAATGCAAAAAGATGAGCATCTTTCTCTATAGCATATAATGGATAAACTCTACTTGTTATGCAAGCTCTCCCTCCATCTCCAAAACTCTCAATAATGGATCTATCAATCTGCATATATTAACACCTGATAGAACAAGATTAAAAAGCACTTATGATTATGATTCATGACTCAAGCTTCTAAGTGTAATTGTTTTTATATTGTGATCAATCTCAAAGATAGCTGCATATGTTGTTTTCTCAACATCCTGTCGCAATGAAGACCTGTCAGTGCACAAAACTTAATTTCATGAGCTCTAATCTCAATCATTAACTCATATTTAAAAAAAATTCATTAATGCAATTTAAAGATCTTTGATGAGATTGAATTGTAAAAAATAACCTGCTCTGATCACTTATCATCAAGCATTTATATTGATCCGCGACTCTATATATCCGTAAAGATATTGTAGTCTTCTCAGTTTGATCTTCTGATGCTAAAGCTAACAAACCAAATGGCCCTATCATTCCTTTTCTTGATGCATATTCTTCACTGCATAGTATTTCGGGATCAACTTCCCTTGGATCTAGCAACTCAGTATTTTGTAGATCAGGTAGCTCGAATAAGGCTTCAACATCAACCTCGAAAAGTTTATTAAAAAGTAATCACTGTAGATTTATTAACAGAATCTCAAAAAACACATAACTTGCATCAGTTTAGTTATATACCTGAGATGCAGTGATACCTTTTACTTCAAGAGTTGATCTACTTAGAAGTGTTTCTCCGGTGATAATGACTTGATTATCGCGTAGTTTTTCTAACTCTTTGATCGGCCATTGCATTAATCGCTTCCCACTTTCATCAAGCCAAAACTTCCTTGGAATTGTCTACATTTTAGAGAAACAATAATCAATAATCATTCATCGAGTCGTATAACTATTGTCTAGATCATGTTATAATATGACGGTATAAGTAAAATACCTGAAGACCAGCCCATCCTTTTTTAATGTAATCTTGTTTAGAGTCATTTTCTTCCACCCAACCCCATAATATTCTCCTATTCTTCGCGTAGTCGAAAAATGACTTTGAAGTGTAAAAATTTCCAGTCAAATCTCAAGTCATTCCAAGTTCCAGTATATTCTTCATCAGGAATGAACTTTTCCTTATCAGAATCAGATACATATTTTCCAATCAAGTAATAGTCATGATGTTTACGAAAATAGCTTATCTTCAAGACATGTCTAACACTTGAATTTTCCATAGATGTATCAACCCCATTTGTGCTATTGATATACACAGGAAAAAAATCTGGACATTCAATAACACCAGTGCCTTGTGTTGCAAGAAAAGGATTAGGATCAACTATCCAAGTAACAAAATCATCACTTTTGCAAAGAATAACTTTTCCTTCATCACCCTTTTTAGCACCAATGATTACCCTCCATTTTCCATCTTTTCCTTACCATGCAGTTGAAGGGTCTCTGAATTCACACTCTTCAACTTCACTAGGTGGAGTAATCAAAGGATTTTGAGGGTGTTTTTCCCATTCCCTTAAGTAAAAGTCTGATAGATTTTTCGGCATAGCTAAGTTCTGAACTTGATGTTTATTTTCATCAATTCCTGTATATAAAATAACAGGTTTTTCACCTGTGAGTATAGTGGCTGATCCTGACCAACAACTGTTTATGTCACTAGGGACATTTGGTATAATAGCATGATTGAGATGAATCCAATTGATGAGATCTTTGGATACAGAATGAGCCCATACCATTTTGTCACCAAAGGTTGCTCCATCTGGATTATATTGGTAGAAGAAATGACAAACTCCTTTATAGTACATTGGTCCTGTCAATGGCAAATAAATACTAAATTATACTAATCATTTTTAAATGTGGTTTCATTGATGAAAATAAATAAAATAAAATAAAATAAAATAGCTGAGAATATGATGAAGCATACCATTAGGATCTGATTTTGAATTTTAGTCAACAAAACATGTCAAATAATACAGAAAAAGAGTTAGATTTATATAAGCAATGAATTATACTATAGAAAGAACCAATATTTGTAAATTTTTCGCACATGTTGAAAAAGTAAATGGAAAAGAAGTGCTTTGGATAATAGTTTGCCATTCATACAATTTTTTTGAGGCTGAAAGTGGTACCAAGTTTTGTATGGCTGTTCAGAATTGATACTGTTTGGGAATGAATCCTTTATACTGTTCTCTTTCTCCAGATGATAGATCCAAGGCTATGAGAATTCAAAATGAACCTGATTTCAAATATGGTTTTGTTTGATCGAGTACTTTTAATATTATATAGTAGAAGAAAAGAGTGAATAGCAGGAGAAGATGCTTGCTTGTTATGTTTATAAGTCTTGGTTGTTTTTTAACATTTATCTTTGTGTTGTTTCCTCCAACTTGCAATTACAATATTTGATCAGTGAAAGATGGAATTCTAAATCCAAGGGTGTTTTGGATATTTTAACTTGGAAGAAAACGAAGACAAAGACCATTATTTTATAGCTTTTAAACTTTTTTATTCATTATCTCCATCATAGTCCATAATTTTTTCAAGTACTTTGCGAACCGCAGATCGCAAATTGGTTCGCACTATTAAAAAAATTAAGATGAACACGGTGAAAGAAATATTCTCATCGAAATGAAGAGATATAAGCAAAGTTTCTTATATACACAACAAGGTGGCTTGTGTTGGAAATAATAATTTATTTCCATTAAAGTTGTTCCAAAATGACAAAGTGGTGTTATAATAAATGCTTAGTCCCACATTGGAAGAGGAGTAAAATTAAATAGCATTTATAAGGCACTTGGAACAATGTAATTTCCAAAAGAGCCAAAAAGGATAAAGTGCCACATAGTCACATGTGGTGGTGCCAAAACTTATGTCACTTGTCTCATACAAAACACCCCTCGCCGGTGTCGCCACCGCTCCGGAACCGGAACCGGATCCGTGGGCGTGGGCGTAGAGGCGCTAGTGGCGGCACTTGTGCATGATATTTTATGTGAACCATTGCAAATGCTCATTAGAGAGTGTGTTTATGAAGAATTGCAAACTTCTGAAAAGACACATGCATGGCTATAAATATATGCTTCATAATTCGAAATCATTCACTCCAAATTCTGACTTATCCTGGGTATTCAGGCCGTTCCAACTCTAAGACAATCTGAGAGTGTGCTTGAAATACTTTTAAGGAAAGTGATTTCGTTCACGATTCAGTCTGGATCCATTCGACATAGAAGAAATATCTAACAGCTTGCACCATAAGCTACTAAGCCCAACCACACTATAGTGTACCTTAGACTGAAGTAACTAACTAACAACTTTTCCACAGTATTTTAAGGTAGTTGGTGATGTGTAATGGTATTGTTTATCATGCTCCACATGCTCATTACTATCATCCTTCAATATTCCCCCACAAGTTGAAGGTTGGTAAATATTTATCATCTTCAACTTGACTAGCAAGTCATTAAAAGGTTGAGGATGGAGAGCCTTTGTGAACAAGTCAGCAAATTGATCTTTGAATTTGACTGAAAGTAACTTCAAAACACTTTTGCTTTGCTTTTCTCTTACGATGTGACAATCAATTCCCAAATATTGTGTTCTTTCATGGAAAACGAGATTAGAGGCAATAGGAATGACATTTTTATTGTCACAATAGATCACATATTTTGGTACACGTGACATGCAAATCCTTCATGAGATATAAGAGCCATTGAAGTTCACAAGTGCGTGATGTAATGGCTCTGTACTCGACTTTTGATGAGGATCTCGAGACTGTCAACTATTTCTTTGTTCTCCATGATAAAAGAGATCTACCAAGAAAGAAGCACTAGCCGAAAATGGATCTGCTTGTATCTATGCAGCTTGTCCAGTCAGCATCTGAGTAGCCATTCAATTGCAAAGTTGAATCTTGAGGGAAGAGTATGCCTCGAGCTGGACAAGTTTTGAGATACCTTAGAACTTTGTAAGTAGTATTAAAGTAAGTGATTGTAGGAGCTGATAGAAACTCACGTAATTGTTGTGTACAGAAAGTTATGTCAGGCCTTGTTGCATTCAAATACAACAATCTGCTTATAAGTCTTTTGTATGAAGGAATGTCATGGTAAGGAGTGCTAGAATCTTAATGAAGTTTAATGGCAGGATCAGATGGTGTGGAGACTAGTCTTAACTTGAGAAAACCTGAATCTTCTATCAAGTCAAGTCAATATTTTCTTTGATATAGGAGAATGTATAACTTTGAGTGTACCACTTCAATGCCTAGAAAGTACTTTAACTTTCCTAGTTCTTTGATTTTGGATGTGTTATCCAATGCTGCTTTGGTTCAATTGAATTCATCCAAATCATTACCTGTTAAGATCACATCATCAACATATACTAGCAAGATTGTTATGGAAGATGTTTTGGATTTCATAAATAAGGAATGATTTGAAGTAGCTTGCTTATAATGGTGTTCGGTGAGAAATGTAGTAAGTCTTTCATACCATCTTCTACTAGCTTGTTAAAGTCCATATAGGGATTTAACAAGTTTACAAATTTGGTTAGGCTTAGTATGAGACATTCCCGGTGGAATTATTATACACATATTCTCTTCAATCTCTCCATGTAGAAATGCATTATTCACACCAAATTAATGTAAATGTTATTGCTTGCATGAAGCAAATGCTATGATGATTCTCATAGTGGTGATTTTAGCAACTAGTAAGTAGGTATCAAAATAATCAAGACCTTCTATCTAATTATATCTCTTGGCTTCCAATATTGATTTAAACCTATCAATTGAACCATACCCATCTACAACCATTGGTGTAACATCAGGTGGTAAGTCTACAATCTTTCAAGTGTCAATCTTTTCAAGAGCTAAGAGTTCAAGTTGCATGACTTGCTTCCAACATTCATGTTTATATGCTTCAGTATCTTAGGTTTAGTATGAGACACTAAGGACAATGAATAATGTGAATATATGGAAGATAAGTGTTGACGAGAAATGAAATCTAACAAGGGATAAGGAATATCTTTGGAAGATTAATTTGATGCAGCAAGGGAGTTGCATATGTAATATTGCAAATAAGAGGGGTGGTGTATCACCATTGATGATATTTTGGATGGTGAAGTTATGC